GCCAATGGGAGACCCCTTTCCATTGCTGTAATAATGTCTACATCCCCGGTCTGTCCTATCCCTTACTGCGCTGATTCCCACCAGTCCATGCTCACTGGTCCCAGCCTTCCTACAACTCTCATTGTGTCTGGGTGTCTCTCTGTGATTAAGGAGCAGGTCCAAGGTGACTTCCCCTCTGGCCGGAGCCTTAACTTTCTGGGGCATGGGGTTACTGTGTCTGTGTTTTGGGAGCCCCTTTGAAGAGGAGCTGTGACCCGGGCGGTGGAGTGGGGTCACCCTGACATTGCTCAGTCAGGGCAAACTGCAACGAATGGGGCAGACGATCCCCAAAACTGGTGGTTATTTCTAATAATGAGATTCACCAATTCAGCAACAAAATAGCTTCTACACTACCTTCCTGCTTATCCAGAATTTAGTAACACAGTTCCTTTGGAACAATGCAGCCTTGCGCTCCCACCCAGACAGCCAAGTTAAATAGGATTAGGATTACTGAAAATCTTGTTCATCATATAAAAAGTTCTACTAATCCCAAAGGTTCAGACACATTACCCACCAGGTCAGTGAATAGTTCAGATCTTACCCAAATCCATGCTTACTGCCAATTCTTATTAACTAAACTAAGATTTATGAAAAAGAAGAGAGAGTGAGTATTGGTTAAAAGACTGTGATCCATGCAGATGAGAGTCGAGTTCTTAAGTCAGTTTCATAGTACAGATGGTGAGCTTCAAAGGTGTAAATAGAAACAAAGAGTCCTGTGGCACCTTATAGACCAGGGGTCTCAAACTCAAATGAACATGAGGGCCACATGAGGACTAGTGCATTGGCCCGAGGGCCGCATCACTGACACCCCCCTTCACTGCCTCCGGCCCCACCCCCACTCCACCCCTTCCATGAGGCCCCACCCCTGCCCTGTCTCTTCTCCACCTCCTCCCCTGAGTGCGCGACTCCCTGCTCCTCCTCCCTCCCGGAAAGTGCTAAGTGCCACCAACAGTAATGCACCTCACTCAAAGGACAAAACACACACTTAGTTAGATTTACTTCTGTTAAAGCCCCCCCACTGCACTGGGCTGCACCACCACTCCACCCCTGCTCTGCCTCTTCCGGGGTGGCAGGTTTGTAGAAATTTTGGTGGTGCCCAGAACCTGCCCTCCACCCCTACCTGCCTAAGGCTCTGGGAGGGAGTTTGGGTGGGGGAGGGGGTCTGGGGTGCAGGCTCTGGGATGGAGTTTGGGGATAGGAGGGGGTGGGCTGTGGGGCTGGGGATGAGGGGTTTGGGGCATTGGAGAGGCCCGGGGCATTGGAGAGGCTCAGGACTAGGGTGGAAGGGCAGCCTGCCCTGGCCCTAGTGGAGGGGGGCACTAGGACCCTGTGGCAGCAGGTGATGCCAGAAGCCAGCAGAGCGGAGTGGGGCAGTGAGGGGGCAGCAAATGAGCCCGGGGGACACTTGGGGAAGGTGTGTGGGGCTGGCAGGCGGGGCC